CCTACGGGCTCGCGGCAGGAGCGGGCTGGCTGACAGGGCACGGCCCCCTCAGTGCGGGGCGAGCCGGGGGTTGTCGTGGGCCAGGATGCTGCGTCCGTAGGAGAAAAAATAAAAATACAAGAGAACTTAAGAGCTGCGGGTTATGTATTTTATGGATGCAAACTTGTAGCGGTTGGTTCTTTTTTTGAGATGGATTTTTATTTGTTATCTAGATATTAGGAATTTTCCATGCAAATTAAGCTATGTAGTAATTTCGTATTTCATAAGAAATGATGTTCTTGACCTAAGAATGACACTCCTGTACAGACCAGTGCTTCTAAATTCCTCGTGAGAAACGCAAAGAACGTCTGTTATAACTGTAAATGCCAGATTATTTCACCAGAAATGCGCTTACCGTTTTGCTATAGTATCTGGCGTGTGTGTGTGCCTGCATGTAACGTGTCTTGGCTATGTACTCATTTATTTTGCTGCTCATGCAGTTGGTAGACCTCAAAGCAGAACTCTTCCGAAAACAAGAAGAATTCAAGAAAGAGAAGTTATTGAAAGATGCTGGCTTTTCTGCAAAGCCCAGAACCTCTAATAAGGTAGGGATATTTTTCCTTATTATTTATATATTTTTAATGATTTGAATCTTTCTTAGTTTAAGGACAAAGGGAAAAAAAGCTTTCAGTACTGTGTTTTTTTTTTTCAAAAGTAAAATCTTCATGATGAGAAGATTTTTTAAAAAATTTCTGTCAATTCATTTCCAGATGATCTAGAGCATAGCTGAAAACTCATCTCATGCCCATCTAAAACATCTCTTAATCTCTAGTCCCCAGGGAGCCTCAGCTTTTTAACCAGATGTTCCTTTGTCAATACGTACCAAGATTTTATAAATATTCTGCTCTCTGTTCCTTCGTATCATCAGGAATGACGATGACTACATATTTATTTCTCACATTTTAATCATTATTGCATTTTGTCTTCTATATATTCTGTAGCTCTCCAGTAGAAGAATGTAGTATCGCTGCCATATTTGAAGCTCTGCATGTAGCTATTTATGTTGTTATAATGTAATTAACCAGATTGATTATATATTAGACCTGAATCTAAGAATAATCAAGAATAGAAACTCTTCACAGCTTGGTTATTACTTAGTAATGGAAAAGATAAATGTTAGCAACTTATTTATTTATTTTACTTTAACCATTTTTTCCAGCATGGATGTTCCTCATCTCCCAATACTTTCTTGCTTCTCAGTCTGTCCTTAACTATCACATCATAATGTAAAATATGTATATGTAATCTTAGCACATACCTATTGTATTCTACAGCACAGCAGAAGCAATTTTAGATCAAACATGCTTGAGATGTTATTTACCATTCTTTCAGGATTTATTCACAAAGTTTGCAGTATGCAGTTACTCATTCGCTCAAGCTGTTGTTATTATTTTAATTTATTTCTGTTTGTTTTTGGCATAAAATTGCATCTCACAGAAGCCAAGCATATGGAGCAAACAGAATGCAGGAGTTACAAATCGATCTGAGAAAGATATTGAGCAGAAGACAGAAGAGGACCAAACATTAGATAAATCAAGGTAATTCTTGGGCAGCATAAGAAATGAAGGCTTTGCAGAATATGTTTTGTAGCATTTAGAAAACATGAAAATGAGTTATGAATCAGTTACATATAAGCAGTGAATCAGGGCCAGCAGTTTTCACTAGATCAGCAGGTAAGATCAGCAAAAATTCTGTGGTCTTTAGCA